ACGTTGCTTGCACCTAGTTTATTATGCCCTCGTTTGAAACCCATTTTTTTCTCATTCTCATTTTCATTTTTTTCTTTCTTCATTTCAACCACATATTCTATCAATAAAATAATACTACACATAAATCCAAAAATTTTCATTACTTTTCAACCACACATTCTTTCATCAATCACTATTCCAGAATTTATTTTTTCTGAAAAATGGGTGTCAAACAGGGGCTATAATGTGCTTAAACCCTAGTGTCTCTCTAGATAACAATAAAATCTACGACAATTCAATTGGTGATCAAACAATTGAAAAGAATGATAAAACAATAATAAACATCATAAATCAGATCAAATTAAAGTCAAAATAATTAATTAAAAATATCATAACAATGGTTCATCTCATCTACTAATGTATAAAATTAGCCTAACATATCGAAATTACAAGAAATTATACTTAAATGTAAATATATAACTCGAATTTTTGATTAATCGAGAAGATAAAAATAAATCTTGAATCTCTTCAATGAGTTTTTTCGATAAACTTCCACTTGCGCCTTCTTTTCTTTGCCCAAAAATTAAGTTTGAATCTTCACTTGAATGAATTTTTGCAAATCTTCTTCAATNGTGAGAAGATGAAGATGAATTTTGAAATTTTGAATCTTTTCAATAGTTTCTTGATGAATCTCCACTTGTGCAGTCTCTTCTTTGCCCAAAAATTAAGTTTGAATCTTTACTAGATTGAATTCTTGCAAATCTTCTTCAATTCTCTCACATTGATGATAATAACTGAAGAGTATTTGAGTATATTATGCGTACCAATATGTATTATGCTATTAAATATTTGTAGGAGTTCAAAATTGGTTGAAAATCACATCCAAATTGACTTCCAAAAGAGTTTCAATCGAATAAGAAAAATTCGCACATGGATTTTTTGTTTCTGCACAGCAATCAGTATTTTGACCATAATTTTATCTCTCGATATCCGATTGAGACGATTCGAAATATTTTAGAAATCCGACTCAAAGGGGTACAACTTTTCTAGAAATAGAATTTTCTCAATTCGGACATTTACTATGCCAAAAATAGGTCTCAATATTCGATTAAAAATCTGGAATATAACTTGTGCGATTGAAAATTGATTTTGATAATATTTTGATTATATTTCATTTCTTTTTGAGTTCTAATTCCCTTCAATTGTCTCCTAACAATTTTCAACGTATCATCTTGTGGTCCGAATCAACTATTGAATATTTA